CCCCCCCCCACCAGATAAGTGCCCTGTGTTACGTTTTCTGGCGTGAAAAGCAGGCAGCTTCCAAGATTCCATACGCATAGTTCATAAATCATTGTAAATGTTAGACCTGTATGAAAGGTTTCCATTTTGCCTATTGCCCACTCGTAACAACAGCACAACTTCTTTTCACCTTAATTTACTGACTTTGCACTCTCAATTCGTCAGCGTATTGCATGCATTTCATGCAATCCCAAAAGGTTACCGTCCAGTGTGTAAAATTGAAGCCGATGTGATGGGATGCTTATTTTAAAAAAAGGAGGCAAGGTTTTTTTTAACCGCGTTGGATTGCCCTCCGCACTGACGACCGTGAGTCACGGAAATTTGGCTCCGTGAAGGGATGAATATTTGAGCTAAAATAAGACTACTACAATTTGAGCAAAACATTTGACCTATTTATGTTCTTTCAGGGCTAGAGGAAATAGCTAAACAGAGAGAAATAAATGAACGGTTAATGTGGAGACTTTTAGCAGTGACTTTTCAACCCTTCACTCACTGCCTCTGTGGTTGTCACACATTTTGTTGTGAAATTAACTTTGAGGACAGTCCGTGGGATGTGTTGCATTCCTTCAGTCGTGAGAAACCCGCATCCTCTGGGTGCGGAGTGATATCGCTAATAAACGCCGCAGCCAAAAAATTTACGCCGTTTTTTTTGCTTTTGGGCTCTACAGCAAAGTGGGGCAATGCACTCTTGAACACCACTGAAGAGGGAAGCTTTTAACACATCCACTTAGCCTGTCTTCGAACCCTTGCATACATCATTTACAAGTCTACTTGTAATTGGGAAAAGGAAGAACGGATGGTATTTCATTAACTTTAACATAGTCAAGGAGCCCATTATTTTATTGCTCGTTATTTAAGCACAAATGCTCCTTTTTCTGTTTAGAAGTAGGAGGAAGAGTTGTCGTTGGAAACATTAATGAATGTGTTAATAAGGTCTGTAATTTTCAAGAGATGAAAGCCTCGACCGTTGGGAAATTTGGGTAGAAATTGGAAGAAATAAGGTTGTGTAACAAATGACATGCTCTATAACTTTGGTACTTTGGGCTTCCTCCTACTGAAAAATATTTTAAGTAGCATGGAGATGTTTATTTTTTGACGTTCTTTAATGTCACTTCCGCATAGGTCATGGCCTCGGTGCAGCACAAGAATTGCCTTCCCCTCATCGGTGTCTGTTTGACTCGAAAAATGCAGTGTATGGTTTCGATGTTTGTGGAGGAGGGCAGTCTGGATCGCTACCTGCGGCTTCACAAAGACGACTTGAACAGTTTTACTCTGCTTTCATGGGCGGAACAGATTGCTGACGGGATGGCCTACCTCGAGGAACGTGGTATTATTCATCGGTGAGTTACGACAGTACATGTGCCTATAAATAGGCCTTTTGCATCAGTAGAAGGAAAAAAAGGTATCTGGCGGAAAGTTAAACCCATATTGCAAATAAAACAGGCAAGTGAAGTAAGCTGCGCCTTCCTATGGGGATGTCAGTGCACCAAGATTGAGCCGTGGTAAATTATTCATTCTATATCAAACCTGTCTTGTCATCTCTAAGACGTGAAATGAAGAAAATGTAGAATCATTGAACGTTGTCACTCTTGAAATGTGTTTCTAAAAAGTTGTAAACCCCATCCAAAATCTATCTTCTAAATTGTTGTTTTCTTAGTAGCATGCTACTTAAATTGTTTCTAAGTAGGCTAAAGACTCTTGAGAGTAGTAGTAGCAAAGCGAAGCGTGCCCTCAGTTCCTTTAAAGTGTCTGTTCGATTTTTCATCTTATCACTAATGTAAATATGGGAAAAAAGTGTGGATAATGGAAGCGACACCCAATTCTTTTGAGGCAGATGCTGGACATATGAGATCTTGTTTTGCATCAGTCCTAGAATTTTTGGATGTTTTTGGACTTTTTACTTTGAGAGTGCCTTATAAGGTGGTGAAGCTTATTAAAGATCTATTTTTAAAATTATGCTCTGTGAAAAACATTGCTTAAATATAGGGCCTTAATTAAGGAGAGTAGTAAAAAGGTAAATTATCTGTTCTATTTACCATTTATCAACCAGTAGAAATGTTACGGAAATTTGAAGGATGGGAACGAAATTTTTTTCCACCATAAAAAGAGTTATGAATTCTTCTGGGGAGGGAATTTTATGGAATACTTTGTATTAAAATGTGTAGATAGCGCTCTTAGTGACTAGGTAGTCCTGCGTTAAACTGCGCACGGTCTTGTAGAAAGAGGAGGGGTGAGGGCAGAGGGAGAAAGAGATGCCGTTGTGTGCACCAAAGAAGTGTGTAGTATTTAGTAAGTGGATCGCATGGACATAAAATTTACAAGCCAAATCCATTACTCATGCCAAACTAATCATCAAATGATGTAACAGCAGCACTTGCTGAAAGCCCTTGAAAATTCTCATCGTTTCCACGTCATCGAGGTGACTTTAATTTTAGGCATCAGCAGTACTGTGCTTTCTCCCTTTTACTCCTGAATGGAGGATTACTGGAATTGGAAATGCGTCCATTCTCAAAGCAAAAGTGTGGAAGATTTTGTCCAACCTTGCCACCAAAGTAAATGTTACTTGTTAGGCTGGCAAATTTGAAGGAATTATATCACTTCCACTCACTACGTTACGTACTGATTGTGAAAAAAAAACCTTAAAGTGATACCAAAAACAACTGAGGTTGTCACATTAATAGATTGACGCACACAAATGCTTCATAATGCAACTTTCAAAAGTTGCAGGGGTTCTCAAGCTGCGTCAGGCCCTCGAGACACCCAAGACCATATACGCCCTTGGTCACCTGACACCAGAGGGGGTGTGGGAAAGCCACCTGTGGCTCCTTGCGAGAGGCATGTCACCGCATAAGGCTGATGACGATAGTTCAACTGCATCAAATATCACCTCATTATGCGACTTTATTCTTCTTCCGAGTGTCAGTCTCTCCACTAATCCGTATCGTCCTTCACCTGTGGAGCGGGATCCATGAACTCTCTCATACTTGGTTTCTTAATTTCCCTTTCACTAGATTGTTGAAAGGTGGTTCATTTGATGGAGGTTTCGCAGCATTTTCAGTGAATATTGGAGCTGAAATACATTCGTCGAAATGGTACTTCACACAGTTTTAGTATTGACTCAACGCTATCTGCTTGCGTGTCCTTCCTCTCTCTTGTTCGTCCAATTGTAATCCACTCTAGTTCCGACTTTGATCTTTTATTAGCCTGAGTATGTCAAATGTCTAGGCCATTAATCATCACTAAATATCTTTCCTTTTACCATGCCGAGTAATCTACTCTGTGTTCACAGCGATTTGGCCGCGAGAAACGTGCTTGTTCAGTCCCGTGAACTGGTGCAAATAACCGACTTTGGATTGGCTAAAATGCTGGACACCAATGACGAGGACAGCGTTGTGGTGCGTACTGGACGTGTTCCAATTCGTTGGTTGGCTATTGAGACGCTTCAATCGGGAATCTACTCTCACAAGACTGATGTCTGGAGCTACGGTAGGATAACTTCCCTTTACCTCAACTTTTAAGATTTCTACTTATTCCATTTAAGTAGCACTTGTATACGTTTAATACCAGGTGTGACGCTGTGGGAGATTTTCACATTTGGCAAACAACCCTACGAGAACATAAGCACAGCAGAGATTAAAGACCATGTGATGAAGGGAGTGCGGCTGAGTCAACCAGAAATTTGCACGCTTGACACCTATATGGTTATGGTGCAATGTAAGTCATGTTTGCCTGACTTATTCGCGAAATGTCTGTATGCAGTCCCGGTCAACTTTTCAAGCCCTATTTATCGCTCTAGGCTGGATGGAAGAACACGAATCCAGACCGACTTTCTTAGAGCTGATGAAATGTTTCCACAAGTACTGTCAAACGCCGGGCAGGTACTTGTATATCGAGGTAAGTTAATCTGCCTTTCTTGAGGGGCGCTTTTAAATATAATTCCATGTCACATGGGCATCCAGAATAAACTCATTAATGCTCATGTGAGAGTGGTTTGTGCTAAATAATAAGAAGGGTGTGTAGGGAAGAACCTAGGGAATTGGCTTTAAAGTTGTAGATCGGTATAAGTGGAGTCAGGGTATTTTGAGTACACCTTTATTGATGCAATGTTTCAGGGGGATGAGTATGCAATAACTCGTACCACTCCGTACACCCCATCGCCGGCTCCTTGGACCGAGATGAAGCCACTGCCGAGTAGTTTTAGAGGCGTGCCAGATGGCACCTTGGGACCACCCAATGGTACGGGCTATGCCTTTAGATTCCCAGAAGAACCCTTCTTTGATGAGCACCAACATCACCGACTCGAAGAGGCTACGGGAGAGGGGAATGGCAATGCAGAGTCCGAATCGCTTCTCCCACATAGAGTCGGCTACGATCATCATCAGCACCATCGACGATTTTTCTCCCATTCAAATGATACGACAAGACTGCGGCAAAACGGACGACAGGAACGTGGTCCAACTACTGGCGCATCTACCAATACTTCCGTGGCATCGACAAATTTGGATTCATGGCCGACTGGAAGTGGGACAGGGTCAAACGCCACCTTCCCTGTCTTGGGTTTGTTTACGCTTACCATTGATAACATAGTTCAGCTAAATTTCAAATGTCAGGATTCCTTTTCTCTGAATAAGTTAGCCATAGATTTTTTTGACAATGACCTACCAAATCGACTTTCTGGTGTCTTCTCCGTGTAGATCGTAATCAACAGCAGCAACAACAGCCAAAGTACTACAATACCTCCGCTTTTTTGGCCAGTGGTACTTACGGACCTTTAGTTAGACCACCCTCTCCACCGCCGGCGCCACCTTCGGTTCCACCGCCTCTTGCGCAAGTGGAACGTGATGATGACTTGGACACGATGGGAAGTGGAATCAAAGACGCTGAGATTAATTACCTTTCCTCTCTAGAGACGTCTATGGACGGTGATGAAGCAGTGGGTGGAGGACAAAGACCACTGCAACCAGAAGATTACCTAGAACCGAGAGCAAGTGGTAGGTTGTTGAAAGTTCCCTAGCTAGCTTCTTGACAATCAATAGGAATAGTCTTGGGGCTCCAGAACCTCATCAGAGAAGTGTTAACCAAATAAACCCTTTGTCATTCTTTCATATAATTTCATCCTAAGAAATTTTTCTTCTCTCCTGAAGCCACTGGTAGGAAACAGCCAGGAGGTCTTAACGCCGTTGGGAATCCCAACTACTTCGCCGATAATCAAGAATACTTCCAACCTACCGGCCCCATTTAAGAGTGCGTATCCCGATCTCCCCCATCATCACCTCTGGTGTAAATATTACCCAATCAGCACAGAAAGAGAGAGAGAGAGAAGAGCACATATCACTCTGTTTAAACACCTCTTCACGCCTAAACCCTCAACGTACGCACGTGTGAATACCGTCAGCATTTACGGAGGCCATACGTCCTTCCCACTTGCTCCCACCTCCCGAACCTTCCCGTTTGCCTCCCTTTTCTAGCTTATTACCCATTGTCGCCAATCGGTATTAGACTGCGTTCATCTAACTCCCGCCATATAAGCTTGCTCCTCTCATCTGTGCCAAATAACTTCATCCCTATTGACAAATGAATTAGCAAGACATATCCCACTCCCAAATTGAATTTTGCAAGATGAGTGGGTTGGAGTTTGACGCTTTTTTGCTAGAATAAATGCCAAAGAGGGTGGAGCAAAACCCTCCCACTCTGAATCATAGGCAAATTTTTCGAGATCCGTGTTGACATTCAAATCCTTGCTGAGAGCAGTAATACAGACTAAGAAGTTGTGCCCGACCACCCATTTTCATGTTGCCAATTGAGAAGAAAGGGCGTCGGTGAGCTGAAACTCCCCGGCCTCCGACTGTATTGGTTTCGGTCAAGACCATGATTGATGCTTTAAGCATTCCAACAATATGTATAGCATAGCGACTGCAAGATTCTTTGTCTTATTAGTCGGGAAATGAGGCGGGAGTTAAATGTGAAAAGTGATTTCTCGTAAGAAAAACAGTGACTTCGATACCTGGACTGGGTGTCAAGGTTTGCATTTCAGTCCCACTGTTGAGACCCGCCCAATTCTCTCACACCAATGGAAGAATGCCTGCTGGAACGGAAGTGGGAAGGAGTTGACAGCAGTAGCCAACAGATTCACAACAAGCAGAAGACTAGTCCAATTTAATCGGCAGTTCACCTGACGGTGACACCGTCTTCGGACGTGGGAGTGTCAAACGGCAATTACCTTCTTAAAAAACGATGGGTTGCGCATTTGTTTGTCATATGTGGTCATACTGAAAAGACCAAAACTAACTACCATCGAAGACAGTATTGATGATCAATCCACAACGAGCCTCAACAGAGTCACCCACCAGATATAGATCAACGTTTATGAAAAACACGCATTTATTACGGAACGATATTCGCGTGAGGTAAAAACACAAATGTGAATACAATTTTACCTGAAACAGTCTAGCAGTGATGATAAAATCAGATTTTCTCAGTCACTTTGATACTGAGCAAGGTGGCGAGCTTTACGAACCGACTAAGCTGGCGGTGAAAAGTTGGCTAAAGGGCAAAGGAGGGAAGCATTTTGAATAAAATCAAGATAAGGGATTAAGTAAATTAAATACAACTAACTAAATCCGAATCTTTTTCAACCAGTAGGTCATGCTGCTCCAAGTCTCTGTCCCGGAATTCTTTCAGGATCTGAGAGACACAAATCAAGATAAATAGACACCGACCGCAAAAGAAAAAGTGAAGATTAGGAAATTTTAGATTTTGAAAATAAAAGTATCGGACCTTATTAACTTTTATAAGTTTTGTACACTTAAAATCTACAAAATTGAGAGCCTGAGCAAACACCTCCAAGAGTTCTGCATGCGAAGCTGGGTCGTCAGCAAGCAGATCACGAATTTGCTGATTATAGATTTCACTGACGGCAACTTCCATGGCAGATTTACAAACTAAGGCAGCTTCTTCACCAAGAAATGCAGTGGCGATGCCAAAAGCGAAACCTGCCGTCTTCCACAGGGGCATCAAAAGAGATGGCCGTGCACGGTGGAGAGGGATGAGTTCCTCAAATTTTGATATATTTGAGTTCTCCCGAATGAGATTTTGCTAAATTATTAAAATAAAACAAGTGGTATACAAATTACGACTCTCACTTAATAATAAGGGTTTAAATTCACTGACCTCTATGATGCTACTGGCATGCCCATTATTTAATACGGCCAACTGTCCTTCATACATACATTTTGCAGCTAGCCCTTTAGCATGATCAGCTCGGAGCAATTTATCAAGCAGCTTTCGTGTACGAAGAGAATACCTAATGACCATTTGGGCTGTAAATTGCCATCAAGGTCGAAGTTGACCAATTGAAATACGGATGAGGGTTTTAAAGTTAGGTCAAGAAAACCAAGCTGAATGGTAAAACAAGATTTACATTGAATGCACTCGCCAATTACTCTGCGTAAAATGCATAAATGTGCATCGCTACGTGATTTTGTGAAGTGGGAATGACGGAGCCTCGACATAAGTTAATATTATTGCGGAAGCAAATGCATAAGCTTAGTCAATCATATTACTTGTTTCCTTTTTATAAGGCGCACTATAGCGTCATGAGAGTTACCGCTATGTTGAAGAGGTCTTTGTCCTGGATCTCGCACACAAATGTACGACGAATACCAAAGTCATCACCAGGTATCAGGTGACTATGCAAACTAGGTGCCACACCGCTCCCTTCCTCTTGTGACCAACAGCCTCCCACATCAACCATTGCAATACGTTCGATACTCAAAGGAGGTATCCACGAGCCAGTCGCGTTAGCTTTCTGCTCCTATTTCAGCAACTTCAACAAACTCTGCAATTACGTCTGGTATAGGAGCAGAAATCAAGGCTATTAGTCATGCACTACTTTCACCGCTAAACGTCGGAACATTTGTCTAAAATAAATATTTAACACGAACGACGGGACTAAACATAGACTCGTACGCACGAGAATTTGAAGCAATGTCACCCCCAACACCTATAAGCGGATGTTGTAGGAGGAATTCCGGTAAAAATTTTTCTATATGGTTAGTGGAGGTGTTGCTTCCGTTGTTAATAGTAAGTCTGTGGGGCACAGGGGTAGGGCCACAATGCAGACATCATTCCCAATCCTTGGAGAATCACTCGCTTAAGTACATGCACTTCCTTTGCACCAAGAATTAATGTCATAAGTGGTATATGCCGGGGTGGGAGTCGTTAAAAATAATCAGATTGGGTTTCCACTGTCCCCACCGTGGTGCTCCAAGACTTCTCACTGCGTAGAAGAAGGCGCTAAGTTGAGCTGAATGCATCTATTCTAGGAGGAGAAGAAGGAATTTGACCTTGGCCCATGATTACTAGGGTAAGTCGAATACCAAAGTCACCTCCAAACATTAGAGGGTTACACATATTACACACGAAATGGGTAGCTTTAAACACTCATTCACATAATCGAAACAATCCGTTTTTGACATAGAAAGTGGACTCACTAGAAGACAATTTATACCTGATCTCAAAACACGGCCAATACTAGTACACCAACTGAACGTTCACCGCAAATCCCAATCAAAAAAATAATACTGATAGCAAGTGTTCCTATGATATTGAAATCAAAGCAACCGATTCTCTGTAGATTCACAAAAGTAAGCTGATGTAATTTTGCGTAGCCAACAGCCGTCACAGCCAAAAAAAATGATGCGGAGAGAAACAATGGATATTGCTCCGCTACTATGGCGACAATTTACCTTTCAGTGCTGATCACCAAAGCCGCGTGTGTCTGTTGTTAGCCCACGCAGTCCTTTTATGCTCATATCCTGTTTGCCTTTCATTCAACCGCCTGAGTGTATTAATTTCAGAACTTGAGACGGGTGTGCTGCCTCGGAATAGCATTGTAGGATTTGTTGCTCTAAAAATACATGAACATAGATTTGACTTAAATAAGGTCTCACACAGCCTTTACTTGTACACATACTCATAATAGGACCTTACATAATCCGTTTGGAATATCGTAAAGCTGGTCCATCTCTCAGAAATCCACTTTCGTCCCTACTTCGCAATTGTGGTATAGGAGTTTGGACCGACGGGGTATTCAGCGCTTTCTGAATGTTGGGAGTTCGAAAGACATTTTCTGTTTTGGTGGATTCTATTTGGGATTCGAAACCTGGTGTCGCGCATGGAGGAAGTGATGTACGACATTGAGTTTGGATTGGAGAGGACGAAAATGGCGGATACTTAGCCTCAACAGTTTGTGCTGGAGGATTTGAAATTCTGGAACTATGAAGTGACACGGAAAGCGAGGAGGGAAGAGAACCACGTGAACTCCTATGACGTGGAACTTCAAATAGGCTGGCGTGAAGGAAGAAGTCGGGAAAGACTACGAAGTTATTGGATTGGCGAATGGGATGGTCTTGATTGTAGTGCTTTTTCATAAAAGAGAGCATCTTTGGGGAGGGTGAATCTATTGGTAGATCAGTAGCTACTAGACCCTCTTCCTATTTGAAAACAATGTACAAAGACGGTATGAAACAGTTTATAATGATATCGATGATCTTTTTGCTAATACCATACCCGAAGCATCCACTCGAAAAGCTCTTTTCCGTAGCCTTGACGCTGGTAAACTGCTGATACGAAGAAATCCAAAACACAAACCGGTTCTACCTCAAAACACTCGCCATATGCATTAAATAGAAAAAGCTTCTTTTTCCCAACCTTTATAAACCCTATTGGAATTTTTGCGCTGAATGTAAGGGGAGAGGGAAAGTCCTACCTTTGATTACCTTCTTCAGAGTGTGTTAGTACATAACATCGGTGGTTGGTGTACCGAAGTTTATGTAAAGTAGTAACTACGGTTGACAATGATTGAGCCTAAAACGGTGCGATTAGCATGAATAAACCAAATGGAGGATTTTACCTCAGCAGATTCTCGCCCAAGTTTATCAATAACCTGCCTAAGAAGTTCTGTTTCTTTAGGGTAATGACTAAAAATCAATAAAAGCTTATTTTACCCAGTCGAAATGTATTTGTGATCACAAGCAAATTTTGAGATACGATCAGGAAAGACCTGTGCAAACATTTTACAAATCTCGATGATCTAATAAGATAGAACCATCTCACTAGATTCGTTATTTAAATTGAGCAGTAGTTAGGTAATTTAAGGCGTAATTCATACCTATTCACTATAACAAAATAAAAGTTGTTAAAGAGTTATTTCATTATATACTTTCATAACGCGCCAATTATTAGCTTTTATTTCAAGAGTTTTATAGTAGCTCTATGGTAAGAAATTAAGCAAGGCTAAGTTCCTTATAACCGATTGACCCAAGATAAATACCTAAGTAAAACGTGTGGTGTTTTAATTAATACTCCATGTAGTGTCCTCAGACAACCCACTTTGCGAAAAAAGGTATCAAGCTGGACCAAACTCATGTGTTCTAGAAGGCAAGAGGGATTGGACTTTGGCGCTCAAGAAATAGGTCAAATCACAAGGTAACTACTACGTGTAGAAGTGCTAACATAAACAGAGTATTGCATTTTCATTTAAATTATGGTTAAAGTTGTAACGTTCCGAGACTTCTCACCGGCTGAAAGAAGGCAGTAAGTGAAGCTGGATACAAATGAGTCTGGGCATGGCCCAAAGGCCAACCCATGAATACAAGCGCCAAACAAATCTTAAAATGACCGCCCAACGTCATTTGGTCACATAAGCAAAGTACTACACTGCTCCTCTCTTCTTTAGAGTGTCGTCCTCGGCGCTTCCCTTGGTACACCTCCCGCGCCAGCTATAATAATATATTCGGTACTACAGGAAAGTACTCACGAGCCAACCTCGTCAGTCGGCAAATAGCATGAGACTGAGGAGTCGTACCTGGTCTCCTTGCCAGCTTCAACTTGGTCTGGAGTTACTTTCGGTCTGACATCCAGAGTCGGGACCACATACACCTGTTGACCATCAATTGCTTCCAGGACTAGACGGTGTAACTCTGGTCTAAAACAGACGTGTTACAGGGGATGAGGCACTGTTTCGTATATAAGGAGTTTAGCTTTCTGAGACTTCCCGTTGAGTGGAAGAAGACAGTGAGTGAGGATGGATACATGTATTCCGAAGAGAATAAATCAAATAGACCTGGACGTGGCCTGAAGGCCAGCTCACGTGCACAAGGTCCGGACAAATCCTAAAGTGACCACCAAACGTCACATAAAAAAGTATTACAAGGAGAACCGTTGTTTCATTTCTGACAGCCAAACATGGGGAATTCCAACCCGAAACTTTTCCAGATGGTTCACGGCTGTGTAGCTTCAGTTGTTAATAACTCGTCTGTGAACACGACAAATGCCAAATGCAGACGTCGCCACCGATGCAATTGCGTCTCTTCCACATCGTAGGTAAAGCAACAAACGATACTTGCTAGGATAGAAGTCGTTGGAAGAATGTTCGGTTCGCTTTCCGCTGCCATCAGTGTAGTGTTCGGGACTTCTCACCGACAGTAAGTGCAGCTGGACACATGCATTCAAGGAGGAGAGAACAAATGGGCTTGGGCATGGTCCGAAGGCCACCCCACGAATACAAGAGCCAGACAAATCTTAAAGTGACGGATTTGTTTTTCTAAGTGCCAGCACTATGGCATTTTATCATGCCTATGGCTATATGGGCTGGCCTGCAGTACAAGACAAAGCCCCGCTTCTTCCTCATCTCCCTAGAATACGGGCATTTAACCCTTTCCAGAATATTCTCTTATCTAATGGGAATGTTACGGTGGTTACCATTTAAACCGGTTTACCGGAATGTAAAATGCTAACGCCAGGAAAGTTGAGAGCTCTAAGAGTTTGTCGGGTTTTAAGGCCCATTTCAAACGCAAATCAACGCTTGGATATTTGTTTGTATTTTGTCATACAACATTGCAATGTATAAAAGTTCTCTTACGCGACCTTGTAGGTCAGCGCGAGGTTGTATTGAGAGGCGGAAATGTCACTACTTACGCCTCGCTCCCCTTCTTCAGTGCTGTTGACTCCGTTCTCCCCCTATGCCATATAAAACGCGTGTGAACATACTGCTTCCTGAGGCATCGTCATTGTGGAATTTAAGCGATGGTGAAGTTGGAATCACAAGCATATTCTCTAATTTCCTCAACAGTTCATGAGATCCATACACTACTTTATCCTAACCATGAAAATGGAGTAAAATACAATCGGAGGAACGCTTTCTTTTTTCTCCCCTTCCCTGCAATCGGACCCAGCACAAATCGCTCCATCGCGCAACGTATCTCATCGGGTCACTCAATCCTTAAGTGTCTGTCCTTGCCCTATAACGCGTGTTGGGTGTAATGTTTTGTTTATGTGAGCATTGTGACATTTGTGTGACATTATGTGACATTTGGCGGTCACTTTAAGATTTGTCCGGCCGTTGTACGCCTTGCTCAGGCCCAGTCGTCTCGTTCGCTTTGGAGCACACGTATCGACCCTCACTGCCTTCCTCCACCCGGCGGGAAGTCTCGAGACGCTGAGTCGGGGACCATTCATAATGGTTTCTTACATTTACATATAGGTCCGAGCACGGTGCTTCTTCAACTTAATCCCATCTACTTTTTGGCCTCTAAGCTACACTTCGTTAACTGAGCTCCCTAACAGAGACATAGCAAGTTATTTGGCGTAAAATTGGTTATATAAGATTGTTTTTAAGTTGAAAAGGTGTTTTTTGGTCTCCTGTCAATAATTTTCATCGATGGCGGTTTTACTTTGGGGAAATTAAAACCTATTACGAAACTGAAAATACTACCTTTAACCCCTTAGTAGCATATCGTAAATTCCCACTCGGTTTACCAAATACTTGCTTATGTGACCACCTGATGTCTGGCGGTCGCTTTACTATTCGTCTGGTCCTTGTGAGCATGAGCTGGTCTTCGAGTCAAGCTCAAGCCTAGATGCATGTGTCCAGTTCTCCTTACTGCCTTCTTCCACCCGTGCGAGTTCTAGGGACCCTGCAGTGATGACCTAGACACTTTATATTGCTTTATGCAAGTGAGCTGGCACCCATCTTCGTCTCTTTCATAGACTCTCGGCGTTTTTCCCAAACAATATGCCGCATTGGAGGCAGCGGAAATCAAATTGATTCCCACAAAACTCTAAATATGTAGGTAAAACGTTTATGCTTTCCTCACGGCTAAAAAACTGATTATGGCACCTAATCTGAACGTCTTTTCGGTTTTTTGTGTTCTTTAAGAGCGTTGTTAACACGTGATGCGAAGTTTGGCGTCAGTAGTGTGGGAAATGGGTAAGGGATTTCTCATACCCTACTTGCTACATTGATGTCGGTGTTACAATACTTCGAGATTCCTCATTCGCAGGAAACTTCCTTTTGCATACCACTCTATCTACGACAATGCTTTAAGATCTGGCCATGGACACGTGGTACACTTAGTACATTCACCCACCTCTATGTCATTAATCACGGACTGGGTAAAAAAATCAGATCTAGTTATAACTACAGAGGAATAAGTGAGGCTAATAGCATAAAATTTAACAACTGTCACAGATGGAGCGCAGGTACTTATCGTCTTCCTAGCAATCACGTTGTGGTGGATAACGCGACGTGATTGTCAAGAGGCACGATGAGGAAATCGCTCAAAAGAAGAGCTGACTGTTACGCGCTTTCCGCTTAGACGGATGTTCTTACTCTGGGTCATCCCAAAAGCCCAATAATAATCTTTTCGATTGAACCATACTCTGCTTTGCTTGCATGACTACTTTGGTATTCGTAGTGCTTTGTACGTGTTGGGAGATCCCCCTAAAAATACGTGCATTCAGCCCAGCTTATTGCCTTATTTTACATGGTGGTAAGGGTCGGGGAGCTACAAAATATATTATACAAAATTTCTGTCTTTTGTCTTATCAAAAGATTTTTAAGTATTGTGGCAACAAATTTACCTTGCCTTATCCAGTTCTTACTAATTGCCCAAAACTGGAATCTGTATTTAAAAAAGCATCAATATATACAGGAGGTATAATATTTATGCTAGCGTTTAAGTTTGCCTTTGTAGCCTGGAAAGATTCGAACGCGAACCCGGTGCGTGAGCATCGCGTAGATTCCCTTTCCTGGTGATGGCTGCTATCCGGTTCATCTACATTCCTATTCCCCTTCTTTCTACATTCAATGCCTAATAAATCAACTGCAAATTATCCTCTCATAAAATCCAATGTCCAAAGACATGAGGGTGGACAGGCAGTGCCTACAGGAAGGATGATTATTTACTGATTGAAGTCAAAGTTTCACATGCCAAAACGTGAATATGTATAGCGAAGCCTTTACGTTTATCGGGTTCAAAATGGAGCTAAGAATAACGTCAAGTACGCCACAATGCGCTAAAATGTCATTACTCTGAATGTACAAGGCACTAAACTAGATACTAGTTAAGTATACAGTGCTTTAATTAACATTACCCCATGGTATATCATCGATGAGTAATGGCGGCAAACTCATTCCTTGCTTCTGCAGAATCAAGTTTCCCCTCAAGTAACAATTTCATTAGACCAAGAAACCATGTCCGATCACAGAACCATATTAACATGGATTATGATTATTTACTGAGTTTCAATTTAATTAGTGGCGGTTCCGATAGTATAAATATTTCACATTCCCGTCTTTGAATGTACTTCACCGAGTTACTTGAACAGTAGGCGGGAATAGAAATGCCGAAGCCCGTTACCGAGGAGGACGTTAGTTCCCGACCCCGTTACTTGCTTTTTTCCAGCTTAGATACTTTATATCTGTGACGGCGAACTCCCTAGGTGAGATTTGTCGCATGAGTACAAATACCGAATTTCAAAACAAAGTCATGACTGTAATGAAGGTAGGACGCCCAAATTCAGACATCAGAAACGCAACATTCAGGTACCAATTAGGGATGTCGAAAATGAGATTTCCAACATCCTCTCGACCGTTTGGATTAACGTAAGTTAGTGGAACAGCATAGCACCCTAAAGAAAGACCCTACACCAGGAGCGACTGCCACCTGCACCTAGACTCCCTTACGCCAATCTTTGACTCCCCCAAATTTAGTCAATTTGAATTTCAACATCTGAAGCTTGCTTCCACTTATTGTTTTCAGCACGAGAGCGATATAAAGGTCCTCCAAGCCAAACGCCGAAAGATCATGGCCAACTTTGGGGCGGCAGACTTCGACAGCCTTTTTGAAGACACGGAATAACCTTTCCCTCTTGTTCCATCTCGTTCCCATCACTTTTCCTTTTCGTAGAAATAAGGACCCAAAATCATGAAATATGGCTACATATTAAAAATATATACATACAAACAAGGTAGTCCTCGCGAGTCAGTCGAACGTATTTTTGCCATGGAATGCGGTATCCTAGATGATAGATGGGGAAATTGATCATGTCGAATAGAGGGCATGAAGAATGATGCAGAAAGAGGTAAGTAAGAGCGCAAAAGTGAGCTCACCTCGCGCTTTCTAGCTTCCATGAGTTTACGATTATTCTCCTCGAGAATTCGCTCCAACTCCTCCTGCTTACGCCGTTCCTCCTCCTATTAAATACACAGAGGTGTGGTTTCAATTTCCCACATTCGTTGAGGCGGTTAAAAAATTGCGAATTTTCATGCAAAGAAATCGAGTCAATAAGTGCTCAATCGCTTGTCTGAAAACTGCATTCAACTAGTAATGCTGCCCACACATTCATCGAGTTTTGCACCTTGAAGTGTATCGTCAAGAAACCCACTGCGATAAGTAGTAGTTAGAACAGGTCATGTAGCATTAATAAAGTAGGAGATAGTGGTCCTCAAAATTGTCGACCACTTTCTCAGCAACTCAGTGGGCGAACTTTGCTGAGGGAAGTTTGACTACTAAATCACCGCATCACTACCAAGACACCCTTTCCCTTTTCACAAGACTCTTATTCCTTGATGTGGATAATTTTGCGCAGAAGCGACTGGTCCATCCACTCAGGACAATGGAGCTCGAAGGTGTGAAGTAAACTGGCATCTTCTAACGGAACAGTCGCAGAATAAGATGCTCAGTTTGACGAAGTGATGTTAGACCTCACACTTCGTAGATTAAAAAATTGACTGCAAGAAGGAAGACAGAAGCATTGCTCTATTGTCAGCCTAATCCACTATGCTCCGCATGTGAGAAGTGGGCAGTCTGGTCTGCAAATAAGGGAGACATAGAATCATGAGGCCAACTTGTACCTCCCAGAAGCTACGCTCCGAGCCAAGAGACAATGCCAAACCAATTGAATTTTGAGCTATCTACAGTACGTGAGGCCGCTTCAGCAGCAACAAGCAAACTTTTGTGTCATGAAGGGAATAAAATAGCTAAGCCATGATTTTTATATGGAAATCCTGAAATTTAATGGATAGAACCAAACTCTGAGTACAGAAAACGGACAATGACAAAATAATTTAAATCTTCAGAGCATCATACATCAAGATTTACGCAAAACACGGCTAAGGTCACTGCATCCGACCCATTATCAAGGCGTTCAGTCCAAGGCAAAGAAATTGTCCCAAAAGTGTATTTAACAGTAGTCAAAGTAAGGCAAACATCCTGAATCACGAAACATCAATGCTGTCTGGCTCCAGCAATGCTTACCATCTTCACTCAGTGCAAAGGACTAAGTGTGGGAGTGTAAAGTGTGCAGGAGATCTCTTCAAGAGAAATTCTCACAGTTATTCTGCAGCAGTCTTTTGACACGGCCAAAGCTAATGCGAGAAGTGAGCTATTTGACGCTCGACTGACAGGTGCCAATGACACGGTCCACAGCTCCATCTACCCAGCCTAACCTTTTTATGCTATGGACAGGATGTGTGAGAAGGATGTCGTTGTGATTTCACCCAAACCTATCTCATAGAACGCCTGCAAGAATGCACTGGACGACTTAGAGGAACATCAAGTTACAGTTGATCAAAAGCGCCTATTTATCAATGTCAGCGAACTCAAAGGTCTGAACAAACAAGGGGAAATAACTTCAGCCAATGGGTACTTCGAAGTACTCACTACTTCGCATTGGCAAGCGCATGAGAGGGACTTGTTGAGAAGCCGCAGAGAGATCGAAGGGGAGGAGAGCTACCCAGTCAGCAGGATTTGTATTACCATAGCAACAGCGTGGTGTTCAAGTCAGGTCTAGCCTTACTGTAAACTAACGACAAAGCTTCCCTTCTTGGAACTTCAGAATAAACTTGCAACAACATGGAGGCATGAAAAAGGAAGAAATCATTTGGTAGTAGGGAGAAAGGTTCATAAAAATAATACCAGACCCGTGATAAAAACGAAGTCCAAGTTGATAACTGACAATCGCTTGCAACAGACAGCCCATCTTTCCGATACTCACCTCGACACGCCGCTTCTCCTCATGCGCTCGCTGAATCTCGCGTTCAATATCCTCCATCCGCTGCTGCACTCGTTTCTCTAACTCCGCCTGATAGAGACGCTCTAACTCAGTTTTTAAGTCCGCTGCCCGATCGACCAGAGCGGCCTCAAAGGCCTCGGTTACTCGCGCCTCCAACTGACGTGCAGCCTCAAGCTCGCGTTCTCGCTCCTCTTGCTCGCGGCGCTCTCTGCAGGACAGAGGAATGACTTACGATACCAGATTATCAGATTTTTCAGGCAGTCTAGAATTTCGATGCAATCATATTATTGCCACTTCTAGTCCTGGCAGTGCCTGAGAAATGAGGAGGGAAAAAGGAGACCACTAGTCCATTTGGTGACTTTAAAATCTGCTGATCGATCATAATCTTCCGCACGCTAACGAGACACCCAATCTCACAGGCACAACAAATAAAGGTGGCGGGTAGGGGTTGCAGGATGTGAGTACAAAAGCGTGTGAAAATGAGGAAAGAGTTAGGATCTGTGAATAACTACTTACACAGAAACCAATTGAGCCGCGATGATAGATGACCCGCTTGCAAAGGTTAGGTGCTAATTAGAGTCGACGGTCTTAGAGTGACAGCACTTATGTCTGTCACTACTAGCCCAAAACAGCAAGAACGTCTGATTAACGCGTTATTCAAAAGCTGAAAGGAGTAGTTCGCCACAAGAGAATACGTGGCTACATAAATGGTAGTTACATCCCTTGATACTTGAAGGTAAAGCTAAACTGTATAGCATGATACCCGTATTGGAAAGGGTGAAACTAAATAAACAAATAGAAATTACACCTCTTTAGTTAGAGAAAGTTTGAGAAATTTAGTTAAAATCAAGGTTTCGAAGTCATACAAAAGTAATTGAGAAAAAAAGGCGTAAAAGAGGACAATGTGACGTACCCTAAGTTAATGAGGATGACTGTGAGGTCGAATGGAAGTCAAAATACACCCTCTGGATCAAGCTTTGATTGCGACTTAAGTAAATATGAGACCTGCACAAAACCAACCCATTAAGAGATAAGAGCATATTCCCTTGACCGAGACCCAGAGACGCATTTAATTTATTAGTCAATTAGCCTAGCACCACCAATTCGCTTGCAAGTATTTGCACGCCAAGCGATTTTATGCCACAGCAAGAAGACATGTGAGTCAGACAGAAACTATTGAATCCCCGGATTTCGATGGTCTCAACTGTGGGCCCCGTAACAGCAGGATATATTGGATACTGCTTAAGATATTTAAGAGAAACGAGAAATGAACTTCGTGAATTAGGAATTCCGCTTGTAAAAAAAGGGACACACAAAGCACTTGTAAAACCATGAGAGAATGGTTAGAAAAAAGAAAAATTTGAGAACACATCAGTAGAGAACCAGGTTCTTGAAATTAAAACTGGAACAAGCATCCGTACAAAATATGGCAGACAAAGATAACGGTCTGTAAAAAAATACTGGTTCAAGTGGTGTTAGAGAGGAGCAAAGCTCTTAATTGCAAAGTATTGTGAGATACGCCAACTAATCGTAAAGCAAAACAGGGCGTTGCTAGGAGGAAACGAACCTCTCCTTCATCTCCAGCATTCTTTTCTCATATTCCTCCTTTTTCCTAGCCTCCCTGATTTTTCGATCAATATCCCTTAAATGGGATTTCTTTAGTCTTTTTTCTTCGTCATTTGACTGGGATGAGGAACTGTCACGCCTACAGCGATTATCACACGACAGAAGTCTTACTTTCGTCGATGTTCTGACCGATTGCTATTTCGGGGCGGACGATCCCCGGCTCTGTAAGAGCGATCGTGGTCTCTATCACGTTTCCGCCTGTCCCTGGATGGGGAGCGATAGCGCCGATGCCTAGACCGACGCCGGTCCACTGAAGACCTACTGCGCGATCTAGCCATTTAACACTTTAAACGTCACACAGACATATTTAAGATTTAAAACATAGTTTGTACAAGTTTATATAATGTAGTAAATTCAATACACAAAATCATAAAAGGGGCAAACACAAAATAAGTTCTTGCGTCTCATTTTAAAGGTAACACTTAAAGTGAAAGACGAAAAGTAAAAGTTGATTTTTAAAGTTATATAAAGACATGCAAATCACAGCGTAGCAAAACGAAACATATTTTGAACTTACTTTAAAGTTCTTGCTTAAATTTAAAATGATTATTGCAAGTTTTGTACGACCATCCCTGTGTTCGATGGATACATTGACATTTATCGTGCGCTTGGGCAGGCTGGCCTCTGAGCCGAGGCTCAATCTCTTTCATCTTTCTCTTCAGATACTGTGGCTCAATTGAGCTTTTATTACCACAAATCTTCTTTTTTGGTTCTAGTTACAAGATAATGGGAAACCTTGTGGGGTTAGTAACCGACTGGCCGCCCCCTGAACCCGGAAGAAAAGTGCATAGATGGCCTTTTATACTTGCCTGTTATCATTCCCAACGTATTAGCTCCTTAAGAAGGTAGGCGAGGCAAAAAGTTTAGGTATACCGGTCTGAGAAACCGCTTAAGGACCACGTAGTTTTCCTAAGGTTTCGGACAATGTCTTGGTCGCCTTAAAAGGTTGAGCGTGTTCTTATCAAAAGAATTTGTTTCGAATGGCGAACGAACGAATGGCAGTCAGATTCAGAAGATGAAGAGCGTTGAGGACAGTGGCCCGTAAAGGTCCTATTGGCCAGAATTTGGGGGGTTTTTGCGGATTTCTCTTCCTTCGCATCTGGATTTTGAGCAATTTATTGGTTGTTTGAAATCAAGGTCAGCTTAAATAACTCCTCATACCGCTTCTTCGATGCTGGAGAAGGCCGATACTCCAGCTTCAAAAAATAGAATTAAAAGCGTCTGAATTTCTGCACACAGGCCTAGATTGCATTTCGCGATGGTAGCCATTGTTTAGAAGTTCATAGTTCGCAGAAAAAACCCTGCCTAGAACCACCTGCAAAGGTACCTATTTTGACTTCGTCTCACCTTATCGAATCGTAAACATCGAAGAAGACACCACATCGAATCCACTTCTGTGTGAGGCTGTGCATGGTCCCTATTTTATACCAGTGTTCCCACGTTTGCCCATGAAGACGATTGATGTTCAACAGAAATTCTTCTCGGTGATTCCTGCTCTCGAACCAAACATAATTGCATAGCCAGTTGAAGTTGTTGAGACAGTTAAGCACAAACATTTTTTTCTTAAGATGGTTGACGATGGCGCGGTTGGCTCGCGGGTGTTGCTTTGTACCGAGGCGAGTGTAGCGGACTTCACACAAAAGGGGGAAGAGGGCAAAGTAATACATAGTTTATGCAACTACCTCTATGTCTGGCCAAATTTTTTAATCTCCTCCTCTTCTATTAACTACATGCATTCAGCCCATCCTAATGCCTTCTTCGACCTTGTGAAAAGCCTTTTTGTTCGGGCAGAAATAGTAAGAAAGGGACTTTTGGCCTAGTTTAAGTGGCTATTAATCCGGTAGATGTTCTGGTTGCCAAAGTAAACAAGGTGCAAAATAAGTTATCCATTATTTTGGACAACAGCCTCTGCAACCTCTTTGACAATCCTTCCGTTTTTGCCATCACAACCGAATTGGTGTATCAACGAGACAAACTTTAACCAGTCGCTTCTATAAGCAACTTCCGTATGGCCGAGGAGACAATCTTGATTTTACTATCACAGATTTCTTTAGGCAGAATCAACTGACTCGAGCGTTAGTTTGTTTCAAAAGTAGGATTTAAAGGCGACAACTTCTGCTTCCTCTCACTTGTGCGCGGGACTTGAAGGTGGAGCACTAGCCTTAAAAAGGCTCGAAACAGTGCCGTAAGGCGAGAGAGAGCGCAGTGGGATGCCGTTTTTGACACCTGTATGTGGAAATCGGTTAACGTAGGGGCTTTATTCAAGTGCTTCTTAACTAATTTCGTATCAGTTGGGGATAGTTTGCCTGCGCGCACGGACATGGAGACACGGATTTTCGCCCCTTTTTTACTTCAACTGCCTCTATATATACGCACCAATTACTTTGACGTTGATGACATTGTGGCATGCGTTTGTTCAAGCTTTTTGACATGATTTTAATGGAGCTGTGCCCTCCATCCTTACAAGCAGTCGAGTAAGTTATACTTTACGGGAGGTCTGATTGCTTTTATGTAATGGGCTGTCTTGGGATGAGCTCCAACTATCTTAACTCTTTTACACAGCTGCTATTCTTTTGTTCGTCTTCACTGTAATTCTGGAACCCTACAAGGAGCAGTTAATATAATAATTTGGTGGTACAAAGCATCTTTAAGTATGTGGTACCCCTAAGGATCCAGTCAACAGGAAATCTAATGAGGAGTGTTGCAGTGCCAGACTGGAGGCACGTACATCACAAAGCATTTTTCCGCCCATCTTTAAGCATTGTTTGCACATCTCATTGCGGTTTCGTCATCTGTGCTAATGAGGGCCCTGCCTTCTGATTTCACAGAAGGTGGTTTACTCTGTGAAGCAAGCGACTTCTTGGGGGTTGTCATTGTTGCATACATATGAGAGTGTTTAAGTGGACTTGTGTAGGGGAGAGGCGGGAAGCGGATTGGAAAACGAGTCTGCTATTCGGCTCATCTAAGCTCCTGTCCCCGTTCTTTTGCATTCGTTGTTTAATAAATCTACTGCAACTAAGCCTGTCTTAAAGTTCGATGTTTAAGGGCATGAGGGTAGACTGGCAGTTCCTACAGTCATCACTCCCACTAAAAACACCGTTCCAATTGAAATGCCTCAACTCGCCTTAAAAGGGAACTTTAAACATGTAGTATGCATTAAAATTATGAGTAAAAAGTTGGGTAAGTACTACAATATATCACATTTGTTTTAATCAACCTTGCTGGTCAGAACGAAGATATAAATGCACACGCTGCAACACTTTGTTTATGTGACCTCATGACGTTGGGGTTTGTCTGGTCCCTGTACACATGGGCTGGCCTTGGGGCCACGCTCAGACCCCATTTGCCCTGTCGTCTTCGGAACACATTCATTCAGCTGCACTTACGGACTTCTACTACCGACCAGCAAGTCTCGGGACACTACACGGTGGCAGCGGAAAACGAATGCGACATTTTTAACGACTTTTAGGTTTAAAGTGCTTTTGACGACCTTCTGTTTCATCCGAGGTGGGGTCTCTCTATCTGCGTTAGTCGGCTGTTAAAAGCTTTATATTGTCCGGGAAAAGCTATTGCCCAGCAGACACCGCTGCCTTACTAGCATTCTACGTTTGTGTTGCTAAACTGTGTCAATTAATCGACTGACAGTACGAACAAGATGACGAGCAATGGTTTGATCGGATGATGCAATGGTTCAGTACCTACAAAACGCGCAGGATCTGGAGATGTATCTCACATGTTCTTGGTGTTGATGCTCTGGGCTTGAGTATCTATGATTCTGATAATCTGTTTGACCCCAAAATTGGGTTCCCTTGGCCGGAAATTCGAAACCTCTCTTTTCACGACAAGAAGTTTATAATCCAACCAGCAGACAAGACTGCAAAGTAATTCTACATCTTGGTGGAACTCCAGGATTAACAAGCGCATTTTGGTGCAATAGGTGAAGATACAGACGAAATGGGACGTGAATTGAAAGAGGCGCATTTACCTCGGTGACCGAGAATCCCTGAATCCATCACTACGAAAGGGTTGAGACTGACGTTCGCATTTGGTTTCACCTAATTGTCGCGTTCCACAGACAAGTTATTAACAAATGGAGAGACACCGCCATGAACTATCTGGAAGTCGTAAATGGCACTAAGGTTCTCCTCACATACGGGGCAGTAGCTCATTCCATTACCCCTGTAACCCATCTGTTTTAGACCAGAGTTACACCGCGTAGTCCTGGAAGCAATTGATGGTCGACAGGTGTATGCGGCCCCGACTCTAGTTGTCAGACCGAAGGTAACTCCAGATCCAGTTGAAGCCACCGAGAAGACCAGGTACGACTCCTCAATCCCATGCTATCTGCCGACTGTCGCGGTTGGCTCGTGGGTGCTTTCATGTGGTACTGAATATGTTGTGTTTGCTGGCGCGGGAGGTGTACCAAGGGAAGCGCCGAGGATGACACTCTAAAGAAGAGAGGAGCAGTGTAATAATTTGCTTATGTGACCACATGACGTTTGGCGGCCACTTTAGGGTTTGTCTGGCCCTTGTATTCGTAGGGTGGCCTTCGGGCCATGATCAGGCCCATTTACCCTGTCGTCTTCGGAATACATGTATCCAACTGCACTTATAACTGCCAGGAAGACTCAAGATGCTACTTATCCTCACAAAGAAAAGTAACTTAATTTTGAACTCCGTTCTGGCTAGAATCGCTTCCCTGCTTCAATATCGATAATTACTCCTCCCCTTAGTGTAAAATAGAATCCGTGTAAGGAAATTGTCCCCTAAGTAAACGTCAGGGAGGAAAACTAGGCTCTGGCGAAGCTAAAACTAGAAATACTCTTGTAAAAATTCTGACCAATACGAAAAATGGTCTCAATATTTTCTTAAAAATTGTGTAAAAATTATTCGGCTTTAAATATTGTGATTTCTTAAGTGCAATAATTAAATACTTACCGAGGTTCAATAATTTTATTTTTGCTTAGGGTTAAGTGTTAATGTGAAGGTGAAAAATAAAAGATTTACATAATATCATGCCGATGCTGTCAGCCTGATAATCGGTTTCCATTGTGCTACATTCTCATTCGCGTTGTCAAGGTGTCGGTAGTGTATTGTTCTCCAATTCTTCACTTTATTCGATGAATTTCCTTTTAAATAAGTCAAATATTTTTGTTTAGTCGTGGGCTGGATTCGTCTTCCTTGGCTGCATCATGTTATGCTTATTCTGTTTTGTGTGACATCAATTTTTCAGAACTTAAGCGTATTTCAGAGAGCTTGGACAGAAATAGCAGATGATTTGCATGTGAAGTGAACAATCTTCTTACACTTTCTAGTGCCGCACTATGATTGCCTAGAGTTTTGTTGTCTTCTTTTCAGATGGGCTTGATTTTTCTGACATTCTCTGCTATCCTTCAATTTCTCCTTGTTCGAGGAACGGACATCGAGGGTACCATCGTTGCACCAATTGACGCATCTCCCAATTGGGCTGTTGAAACGAAGGTTCGCGTCGATGGGAACCGTTATCTTGGTTTCATCAAGCCCGATGGCAGCTTCATCATCTCCGACGTTGCTCCTGGCTCATATCTGGTGGAGTTTACCAATCCCACTTTCCTCTTTCAGGTGAGCGAATTTATCTGAAGTGACACTATACCTTTGGTTAGTTGTATTATTAAATCCCTGTGCGTAAACAATGCTTTTCTTGCAGCCTGTGAGGGTTGATATTAATTCCAAAGGAAAGATCCGAGCTCGAAGTGTCAACGTGCTACGAACCACAGCTGTGAAAGCCATAACCCATCCCCTTCGCATTACAACTGTCGGCAAAGCCATGTACTTTCAGGTATTTTCTTCTCTACAATGGGCTTGATTAGTCGCTTCAACGTTGATATAAGCTCGCTATTTTTTACCATTACCCTCTTAGCCTCGTGAACAGCTCCGTACCTTGGACCTACTTCTCAATCCCACGGTCTTATGTATGGTTATACCCCTCCTTTTCGTAATGCTTATTCCCAAACTCATGGACACCAATGATCCAGAATTTAAGGAGATGCAGAAAAACAGCATTTTTGGTGGTCGCAGTGCTGAAACACCAGATATTAGTGATGTAAGCTGGCTGACGCGTGTTGTTACTTCCTCTTTACCCACGTTCATATATGTCTTTCATCTCCCGTAGTACCTCTCATCAATGTCACTTTTTGGTGGGAGTGGCACCAAAAAACCACCCCCGAAAAAGGCGGTTACAGCACCCGTTACGTCTACCCACTCTGCGGGTCAGGAGTCCCGTAGAAGTGGCAATCCCCGAAGACGCAATTAACTAACTGACTAGGCCGAATTGTGATCATTATCTTGTTGATGACTAATTTGTATTTTAACTGTGTTAATATGGCGCTCGACGCCTGCCGCAGTCAATGAAATGAGCTGCGAGTAAAACAATTCGTTTTCTCGTCTCGATGTGGATGAGGTCCTTTCGCAGAGTTGTGAATCCCGTGTTAAATGATCCTATCCCGGATTCATAACTGGTTCTCTTGATGAGATGATTATGGGGCTGGTAACTGTTTGCCAGTCACTTTGTCTACTTGTTTCATATGAAGGTGACGATCAGCTCTCTCTGTGACCAATACCAGTGCACTTCAACTACTATATAGCGCTTAATCCCTTCCTATCAGGCGCCAGGGTTTCGATGCTGCAGCCATAGCTATTACCGTCTGTTACCCAGCCAAAAGCAAATTTGTTCAAAATGTATTGTTCAAAGCTATTCAGGGTGCATTAATTCGACATTCGAACGAGGATATGCATGAAACCATCGCTTTTGATAGTTGACCGATGCGATGCACTACGAGGTTAGTCCGTGGTTTCTCATGCATCCAGCGATTCATGAGCCAAAGTGCGTTTCAGAATATATCATGTGCCGCGACTTGCATGATCATTTGTTTCCACTAGCGTCTTCTGAGAGAGCATATAAACAGACATCCCTAGGTGATCCACTCGGCACCCCGCTCTATCCCCAGTAGGCAGGCAACAAACAAAGTTGTGCTCTACCTTGGCCAGATAAGCATTGCCCTGGGGAGCAGATCCCACATTTCCAGTAGTCAGAAACACCTCAGCAAAAAGAACCACCATCAAGTAAATACTTCATCAGGTTCGATTGAAGTAGCTAAAGTGCTTGGGTCTACCTCATTCAAAGCAAGCATCGGTAACCGCATTCGACATCGGCAGAAAGGAGCTGGGAGTAGGTGTGGAGGAAACCAACTGACTCGAGATTTTAATCATCATACATAAGAAGGAAGGCAGCCTGATTATGCTCCACGTCTCGCCTTTTACTGAAATGCCCTTTTCATCATTTTCGCCATCGAAGCATTGTGTGCTCTAAGAGAGGCTTGCAACTCATAGAGGACTTTCTCGCCTGCCTGATTGGTGGGGTTGAGTTGGAGAAGACGGTTTGCATCCTCAATGCCCGCTTCAAACTCTTCCATCAGGAGGTAAGCCGAGGCACGACGGTAGAGAACCTTTTCGACATCTCGCAAGCCTATTCTTCGACCTTCCTCCTCCTCCTCTTGAACTTCGATCAAGAGCTTGTCATCTGGAGGGGTCATTTCCAGAGCCTGGGTGCACAGTTTTGCCGCGAAGGAGGGGGAGCCGGCTTTCAATTGACACAATGCCATATTTGAGAGGAGACTAAAAATGAAACAGTGAAGTAAGCTTGAATTCCTCACCTTTATGCTACCTTCCTCATCCTTAAACCAACGAGATTTTATTTCTGCGTAAAATTTTTGCGTGATGGTAAGAATCAGTCGATAGGATAGTCTGGTAAATGAACTCTTGGGCTTGCCGAGCCACTAGTTTTGCTACAAGCGTCATTAACTCGAAGTCACTGGTTCGTCTAAGCCTTTGGTATTGCTTGCCAAGATGAACATTTAAATAACAAACCACCGCCGAGTAGCACCGCGTTATAGGAGAGCCCCCTTTTGAGACGTGATGTGTGACAAGAGGAAGGATATTTGTGGAACTCTGAGTAGATGCAGGGAATTTTCACAGCGTCAAGTTGCTTAGTTTACATCTACGAACCAAAGTTACTAATCAACCTTTCGTTTTGATGATATGGAGTGAAGTGCGACTCCATCCGCAGCCAAAACTACGATTTCTGAATCTGATTGATCAGGATGCAACTGACAAGTGCCCTGTTCGAGGCACAGATGGGTCACAAATAAGATCTAAAAATCATGCAAATGTCGTGACTTAGTAAAGGGACGGCACCATTTGCTTGCAGTGGACAAAAACATTGGCTACCTGGCAGAGATAACCCAAAATTCCGTGCACTTTGTGTCATTAAGTGCGATATGGAATTGCCGCAACTGGAGGGAGTGTAGACAATGTCTAGGGCTGTTCCCTATGACCTACAGCCTCAAGTAGCGAATTGAGATGCCTTGATGCGGAACCTCAGCCCGACGAATAAGTGAGAAGCTTGCTTAACGTCACAATTCCAAATTGGCCCACTTCCCAACCATCGCAGTACCAGTAACTCGTTGTGAGGCGCACAAGAGTTAACCCGTAAATTTGCAACTTACGCAAAGTGAATACAATTGCAAAATAGGTGGAGTTAAGGTTAAATGTAACAGAGATTTATTTGATAGCGATGATTGTAAACTCAAACAAGCCCCTGAATCCACCATCAATTTCACAACACACCGTTTCTAACAGTCCATAATCTCTACCCCTCCGTTCCTCCTTCCCTCCCTCCATCCCCCCATCCCTCCCTCCATGCACCAGCTGAAGAGCAAAGTGGATCCCACACACCTTTCCTATGCTCACTCCTCCCCACCAATACCATCCCATTCAACACCCCACACAGGACACCACTCAACCACCTCAACACCACACCATCCCACTTCTCCCGCACAGACGGACGGACAGCCTCACAGTCCCAACGCCCAACTCATGACCCCAACGCTACGATACACGACAAAACAGACATCACACCTTGCACGTGAAACGAACATCTATAATGCCCACGTGTGTGTGTGTAGAGAGGTGGTGGAGATGCAGGAACCTCAGTCGGACAGGTCAGCCGTGCACACAACTGGAACGACACCTGACACACCAAACCACCCGATCCACCCACTGTTAAAGTGGTCTCAGGTCAGTCGCTGCGCTGACCCCTGTTCGGAGGACGCTGTCATAAAAAAGCAACACCCCACCCACCTACTGCACATCTCCCATCACTCACTCCACTCCACTCCACTCCACTCCACAATACAACACAACACAACACTCCAGTGTGACCGTGACCGCAGTCCCGACGCTTTTCAAGCCCAATACAAACACATCCTGCCTCCAACGTCCACTGCACGAAACTCTCAGATCGGTCAGATGCGGGAGGAGTCACTGACCAGGTTCCAATACGAGGCAACTTCTACGAAAAGCGTGAGGTGGCGGACGAGAAGAAACGAGTTAGGAGACCTACTCACTGGCTACTTAAAGCGAAGTTATTATTCACACAGTGTTTCAAAAATGCAAATAATGGCTGATGGAGAAATAATATATAGAATGGGAACGACATGAGTAATGGGGTGATGTGTGCAGAACGCCGCACTTACTTAAAACGCCAGCCTTGAATCATACAGTGCTAAATGATAGAGCTCCCAACCTAGAAAGGGATTCCAGTGTTCGACTTTACAAGAGATGGAAAGACACGTGCCGCCTTTGGCTAAATTAACGTAAAGATGTCTAAATAGATGGCATCTCAACGACCCCAAGGTAAGAATGCGGATTTTAACCACCTACTGTCATTCAAGAGCACTAGCCACCTCACCCAGGACCAAGTCTACTGAAGAGGTGTAGAACCCGCACAACAATTCTCGGGTGTAGGTGAGAATTGCAGCGATGTATAGGGTGTTTAAAAGAACCCTCTGTCCTGCGTCATGAAGAATGGTGAGTGAGTGGAGGCTAAAGGGTCATTAATGGCTTTCAGCGATGTGTGACATGAATTCTGAAGCTACTCTGTTGTATCTAAGCCAAGTGGGCAAATGAAGAGTGACTATACAGACTCACACGACTGCAAAACGATCCACTCAGTAGCTACCGAATACCACTTAAAGCCTGGAACTAGTTTAGTGTGTAAATGTATGTGTGTGACGCACTACATACAAAATAGCTACCAATTCAAGTCAAAAAGCTACGCCTGACAAGTACGAAAGCAATGAGATGCAATGAGAAATGAACACAAATAACAAGTTGAAGAGGAGAGTGGTAATGTTGAGCGGCAGAACCCTCCACCACCAGATAAATAACGCTCATGAGGAATGGGAAACGAAGGAAAACCAGGGAACAAGCTAGGGGATGTATTGTTTCTCATCAGAAGCTGTGGTCATACAATGTAAAATTTGCAAGCCTATGCCTTTACGGGAAGAGATTACTAAAACAATTACTTTACCGATTGGAATTTTTGTTGGCATCTGCTCCAGACGAGGGGAAGGAGGGGAAAGGAGATAAAAAAGCGCTTGAGAGTAAATCAAAGAGCTACAGTACAACTCACCTAAAATGAACTTTTCCGATCGCCTCAACGTCCAAGTCAATCTGTTCGGGGTTTACTGATGATTGTGCAGCTCCATCGAGATCGATGTAGTCCCCTTCCACCGTGCCAAAGATAAGTTCACACACCCCTTTCTCCTTCTCCGCTTCCTCCGCTTTGGAGGAGAGGTCGAGTGTGGCGCGGATGAGAGTTACAAGTTGCAGAGCTCGAGAGTAGCACGCAAAAGCCGCGGTGATGGAAGGAATGTTTTGTGCATCTCCACGCGGTGCCGAGTTAAAAAGCGAAGAGCCGCGTGCTCTGAGTGCCGCAGCTTGCGTAAACCAGAGACGAGGAGTGGAGGTGCGCCAGGCGATGTTAGTGCTGTTACCACCTCCACTAGCGGTCTCTAGCATGTCTCCAGTGGCCGCCTTTTTACACAAGGTGGGTTGATTTTTTTCCTCCTCTTCGTCCTTCACCGGTGTCGGATAGAAGGGTTGAGAAGCGGAGAAACTGTCTAGACTGACCGTCAACTAAAAAAAAACTGTTAAAAATTTCATAAACTAACCTGACAAGATGAGCGCTCATCTATTCCAACTTCAATGATGGCAGAGGAGCCGACATTGAGAGTTCGAAGAGCTTTCTCAATAACACCCCGGAGGGTTTTAGAAAGATCGGGAGCTAGACCAAGACGGAAGCAGAACTTTCGTGGTCGTTGAGGTTCGAGACAGATTGTATGCGAACAGTTTTGACTCGCGCAAAGGAAGCAATGCGAAGATGGAACATGTCCTGTGGCTGTCAAGGTAAACCAGCATTTACTGCCATCCGAGGCTCCACGAAACACCGTCTGGATGTTCGATCTATTCCGGGATATAACTTTGAATTGCTTAACATATAAAATGATGCCAGTTCAGTACTACTAAACTAAAAAACCGGCTCACATTCAACCACAACAATCCCGAGACAATAAAAAAACAAGACGTAAATCACTGGCAGGGTTTAGTAAAAGGTAGATACAAATAGGTAAAAGACAAAAGGATGTCATCACTTTTGTTGCAATCACACAAAATCGCTTTTCATTTTCATAACTTGGTACCGTATATGGTGTCGTACACAACAACCCAAACAACCAAAAAAGTTGCGAAAGTGGTCATCAACCCTTCTTTTATGATTTCACTATATCCACCGTATTCCTCTTCATCCACGCGTTGAAACACGGCTGAGTATAGGTAGACGAAGACACAGTTGATGAAAAAGAAGGAAGATATACCAAAGGCACCTTTTATAGGTAGGAATCCCCACAAAATGCCTGTGATGAGTCCAATAACCTGACGCATCCAGTAGACAGTATCAAGAAATTCGTCCTTATCAGTCCAGCTTGATTGTGGGCGAATGGATTTACGAAATGTAGTCAGCAAACTATACTGACCAGGGCTTTTATCCTAAACAATAAAATCATAGAAATTGATAACCACACCTTAGCGGGAGCACGCATTTCACACCCTTAATGCACATCAACCAATCATATAATGATCAGACTACGGGTGTAATATCGGTGCTACAAGCTACTGATGTTTGTGTTGCAGAATAGATAAAGATTTATGACATAACGACCACTATTATTTGTGCGAGTTTTGTGTCATAATTTTAATATAAAAGCATCGTTTTTGTGTTAAAAGTTCGAATCAACGTGAGCATGTGCAGCAAATTGAGACTTTTCATTAGGTGGAAGAGGGCAGTAAGTGACGTTGGATACATGCATTTCGAAGAAAACAGAGCAAATGGACCAGAGCATTGCCCGAAGGCCGGCTCACGAGTACAAGGGCCAGACAAATGCTAGAGTGACCGCCAAACACCAGGTAGTCACATGAACAAAGCATAGCATTTCACCGAGTAGAGGAAGGCACTAAGTGGAGCCGAATACATTTATTTTGGAGAGAGCAGAGGGATTAAGTCTGAACCTGCCTTGAAAGACAGCCTACTAATACAATGGCCAGACGACTGCGAGAATAACCATCAGACATTAGGTGGTCACCAGGCAAAGGATTACGTTGCTCCTCTCTTCTTTTGAGCGACGTTCTCGACGCGCCTCTGGGTACATCTACTGCGCCAGCCACTACAAATATTCGGCACTGCAAAAAGACACCCACAAGCCGGCCGCGTAAGTCAACAACCAACAGCAACTGCAACATAATTTAGAGTCATATCCAACCTGACGGCCAGAATAAGGCCCTAATGTGTCCGCTGACCATCAATTGCTTCCAGGACTAGGCTGGTAGAACTCTGGCCTGGACCAAATGTGATACCGGGGAAAGGAGATCAGATACAGTTCCGTATATAAGGAGAACCATGGCGTCATTTCCAACCTAGATTTAGCAAAAGAAATTTTACCAAGAAACTTTTCAGACAGCTCACGATTGTGTCGCCTTCATTGTTGATAGCTTGCATGTTGAATGTGGCGATAAGGTGAAGCCAAGCGAAGATGTCATTCTCTACTTTTTTGTTGCATAAAAATTCGGAGATTATATCACACTTCACGTATTGTAGCTACGTGCCACAAAAGGCAGATACTAAAGTAGGAGGCATGAGTAAAAGTCAGGTACGCGTTCCACTGCCAAATAGTACCACTTTGCACCAGGAAGAAGGCATTAAGTGAAGTGTGGGAAGTGAACTGAGGTAAAGCTTGAGCTTGACTCCAAGGCAAACTTAGGTGAACAGGAGCCAAATTAATCTTAGAGTCACAGCCAGGCGTGTAGTGATTACATAATCAAAGTGTTACAAAGATGGTCTTTAAGTTAGGGCTTAGCCATGCTCCGAAAATTTCTGCCTGAATGACGTGCCTTAGGGCTAGCCGGAAGTAATATAAGAAGGAAAAAATCGTTTACGTGATGACCCAACGTCTGAAAATTACTTTAAGTTCCGTCTGATCCCTGTACACATGAGCAGGAATTCGGACAATGCTTAGATCTGGTTACTTTCTTCACCCTGAAATGCATGTAATCAGCTCCACTAACTGCGTTTTTCGTCCCCATAATAAGTCCCGGGACTCCATAAATACAATACACAAATGTCTTGCCTAATTAAAATTAATATCAGTATATTAGATTTGTAAAATTTAGGACTTTTATAGTGCAATTGAAGCAAATGTTTTCAGAGTTGCTATATTGTTACACATCAATCAACATTATTTGCTTAAAGCGTATTTAAAATACATTCTTAACTTAAGTAATAATTTATTGCATCTTATTTGCTTATTTTCCATAGTGGTTGACTTATTTCTGGTTTCTGTTTCAATCAACCACAATCCCATTATTCCTACTGCTGTGGACATTACAAGCGCTGCAGGTATGTGTTCGTGCTACATTGGTTTTGTTTGTGTTCCTATAATCGCGTAGAAAACCTCTAATTTTTGTATTGACTGAACATATTTTTTTATGAATGAGCATATATATTATCTGTATATTGCCAGCATCAAAATCTATGCTGTCTAACGTATGCCTAGTCCTGTTCATTTTGCCTACCAGGCTACCACTATATTAAGGTTTTGTTTATTTGGTTCCGTTCTTACTTAAAGTCCTAATTACATTTTATAACTGCGCATTTTTGTCAAAAACGTTTTGTCCTTTGCTTTTCTTTTCGCAATAACTTGGTTTTGCACATCTCAGTTCATAAATAGCATTGATTTTTTGCCTTTCTTATCGACTGAGCATTGCATAATGGCATACTCATTCGTTTGATCTCTGATCTCATAAAGTTTTGTCCAATGGTTTTAATCGTTTTCTTATCTTCATAATGGATTTTAGCAATGGACTAATTTTTGAAAAATTTCGTTTAGAATCGTCCCAGAATGTCGGTTAGCTGCCGTCGCAATGTAAATCCAGCTTCCAGTAATTTTTACAGTTCATCAGTGGGAAGCACCATTGGCGTATCAAGTCATTTTGTTCAAGTATGTGTTTGCGTTTTGTTTTATATTTTTAAGCTTACTTTGCACTCCTTTTGAGACTACAAGTAGTTATCACTGTTTCACTGTGCAATTCTTCTTAAAACGCATCAATTTCCGGTACACGTTTTGTTAGTATTTATGGACTTTATATGCACACACGTTTTTGGCCTCTACACGAAGTACGATCCTTCCATGGGCTTCAAATCTCATTACTTGTATATTTGGTCCAAATTTGGGACGGTCGTCCAGAGTTTTTGCATCGGTATATGAATAGGCTAATATGAATACCTCTGGGACTCTTGGCGTTGTTGTCGGGTCGTTATTGCTAACATTTAAAATCACCCCTATTCTCAATGGAAGGCTTAGGCGTTTGAATTGTGATCTTAGCAGTAGCATTTTCTAAAACTGTATGTGTTTGGTGAAATTTTCTTATTTTACATCCGTATTTCTTGTAAATTCGGTTTTTATTGTCTGAGACTCTTCTATGAGTTCGCACAACGAATAGATCTTGTGGTATTTCTACACCATTGCGACATGCATCATCACCAACTAATCATTATGTTTTGAAATATACTTGGGTCGCTTTCATAAATTAAACTAGGATTTAAGCCTAGGGTGGACATCGATACTTGCAATAATAAACTGTTAACTGTATTGATTCCATCAGCGTTTACTGTCATGACTGTTATGGCTTAATATATCATTGCAGCACAATGAGTTGACTAATGGTTCAACTCACGAGCCGTTTCCTTCTCCTTGCTCTGCGGAAGTATCGACAAAGTATAAAAGAAGATTTGCCAGATATAGGGGATAAAATCGGGCATAAAAGCTGTCATTACTACTTTGCCGTTTTTTTCCATCAGAAAGCTATCTGCTTTATCACTAAAACATGGTACCAAGCCTGCCAATTAGTGCTCAGAAATGGGTTCGTGTAGATGCTCTCTTGTGGCCTTAGGATTGCGCATTTATGGTAATCGTTTTTTGGCTCCATTGATAGGGTCGTGGTGTGCCTTCTGTTTTCTTCTCAAGTAAAGGCAGCACGTGATTATTAATGTAATTGCACCTCTCCACCTAACTCCCCTTTTGAAAGGAAAAGGACGGCTGCGTTTTACATGATTTGCGTTTACAAAGTTGAACAGTTAGGAGAAGCTTTTGCGGACGTTTTTTGTACTGATATCGGAATAGCAGACCATCTATGAGGTTGCGGAGACGACAATTGCTCGCTATTGTGTATATTTGTGATGAGGTAGGTTGTAAGAACCCGACTGAGTGGCGATGCCAGAGGCACGTCAAATCGCACAAGTCGAAATTTATATTTACTGTGAATGGGAAGGAAGGGTTGTCAGTTATTTAGTGCAAATGATTTAACTTAAGATACTTCAAGTGTTGCTCTCTCGCCAAGGCTTCAAGGAGAGGGCAAATCTCTCATCTGATTCGTCTTTCGAGTTGGTGCTGCTAGTGTTATTCCATTGACCTCTGTTGGTTCGGCTCATTGTGACTGTCCCACCTCCTTGCTTTCAGATCTCACGTGGCACTTTTTTCCCATGCTTCAAAATGTCTCTCACAACGCGACTAGTCATTTAACCCGATAGTTTATATCCAAATTAAGATAATTTAACTACAACAACTGTTAAAGTAACAAAACCAAAATCCGAAAATTCACAAATCAGTCAATAAACTGGTACTAATTTTTTGCCTCCACTTTGACCGTAACATGACCTGAACCTCTTCAAAGAGGTCATTTGACACTTAAATCGGATACTTACTCGGACTGAGGTCCATCCCCCAGTCCCCATTGACGCTCTTATTCAGTCAACACAGGTGCCTCCCTTTTGATGCTTACCTTGGCTCATCTCTTGGTCCTGTCATAACGAAGCTATTGCCGGTCGGTTTCGTAAGGAAAATGCTAGTATTCTCTGCAAGGTGGTGGGAAGGGTTTTTGGTGGAGCATTAGTAGTAATGGTAGCAGCAGTGCGTCACCGAAACCGTCAATTCATCTCTAAAACTAGCTGCCAATCACCAGACAAGGTTGTGATTTTCATGAGCTTTTACAACCCACGCTCAAACTTCCATCTGACATTCCAATCTCAGCGATCCAACATACAAATTACGTGATCAAATGTCTGAATTGGAGAAGGGAGATGGTCACCAACCCCCACCCTTCACTCTTCCCTCTCTTGATTTGCATTGTCGTAATTGAGGCAGGAAATGCCTCAGTGTTACTAATGCTGCGAGTGTTGAGATGCCTGTGTGTGTGTGTGTGTACATAATCTTATAGTGTGAAACTCCGTACTCTTCCACCCACGCGTTTTGCCTAAACACGCTCAGTGTGACTTGCCCTGTTTAGTTGTGTGGGTTTTGAGCTTCTTACTCTTCCTTGATAGCTTATTTTCCTCCGCCATTTCTTGTTTAGGGTGTCTTGGTTTTAAAGATTTACTAATCGGTCGGTATTGGGAGCTCGAAACGCTGCGGTCACACTTTAAGCATAATTCTGGTCGGAAGGATTGGTGGGGTGTTACACATCAGTATCAACGCATAATTCGGTATTCCTTTGCAAGAATGTAGTGGGTTTTAACTCCTTAACTTCAAGCGGTTTGCTTCTCTCACCTCCATTATATCAAGCCGTTGAATGTCTACTGAAACAGGTAATGGCGAATTTGACGACGTTTTGGGTACAAGGTTTCCGAGTACTGGCTAACTCCATTGCTGTAGGACGTCGCGGTCCTCAAATTGACGGCTAGAATCATGTCATATTGAGTCAATTTTCCTGTTAAAGACTATTCTCTCACTTTCCACCTTTCACGATTTTAATCAAAGGTGCGAGATTAGCTCAGTTACTGAAGTTGTTGGCGCACGTGACAAGAATGGCATGGCATATCATCTTATTGCGTGTGCTGTTAAGTTACGAGTCTCATCGCTCACTCTCTTACATGACACTTTGAGGCTAAATTGACTCACCTTTTTTCTACAACCTCTACTGCCTTTTTGACCTCTAGGTGGCTACGTGCGCAGTTTTTTTTCTCCGTTTTAAATACTCCTTAACTCCATTTAAGTTGCATTACCTTCTGTTCAGGTCTTGGACGAATCAATGTGTGTAATTCGTGAGGACATTTGCGACTGGCTGCAGCGCTATGTTTTTAGCGAAGCTCAAGTTGCACCCCTTGATGACCCCTGTGATTTGCTTGAACGTCTCAAATCTGGCGTCTGGCTTGCTCGTCTGGCTCACAAGCTTCACTTCAAGGTTGTATGCCTTTTTTTGCATATTTTGCTCTTTCCACTTCATTCTTTTTATAATTTTCTACTACAGGTCCTTGCTGCCAACCTGCCACGTACTCGCGGGGTCAAGGTCACCTCACGGGAGCACAAACTCTATGCCAGTCTCCGAGGCACTGGGCCTAGTAACGCTTTAGGTCAGTTGACAGCTGAGAACCTACCGGCCTTTTCCCAGCCCCTAAAGCACGCTGCAGAGTCGCGCCTCTCTGAGTCCGATGTGGCAACTAGAGGGTTCGCGCCTGTCCCTCTTGATCACTCCTCCTTTGGTTCTACGCCTACTCTTAATGATTTTGGTATGCGGTTGCGGAACCATTGGACTGCTAGAGGAAATATCTCAGCGTTCTTGGAGTGGTGTCATGGTCTGGGCATTTCTGAGACGGTCCTGTTTGAAACCACTGGACTGGGTGAGTTACACTGTCTTTAATTTGAAGGTTTACTTCTATTCTCTGATGTTTCTGAACTTGTGCTCATATTTGGAAGAGAGGATACGCTATTTACTTGAGGAACTGCGTAATACAAAGTTATCTTACGCAGATTTACTTCGGATTTAGTCTTATTTTTCACCTTTTGAGGCCTGATTGTTCTAGTCTTGCCGTTTTTTTTATCGTACCTAAGTCAGCTGTCATCAGCATTTCACTTGTGACCTCTCATCAACCCAATCGTCCACAGTTCCCTGTTCAGGCGGGGAGGTAACGTTAATAATGGGTCCTGGAGCTGCTGATGGCTTAACATTCCTACATATTTATGCCGCCGTGTTCTTGGATGAACAGTTTTGGCTTGTACGAGGATGGTACCTTTATTTGGTTGTGTGCTCTTCCATCCCCGACTATCCACATCCAATGCCCTCATTTTTATTGGTTTCAATGTAGTTTTTTGAAAACCACAGGGCAGAATTGCCTCTCATGTGCCTCCATTTTACTGTCTGAATTCAGTTGCTATGGCAACGCCCACACACATTTGTCAGTTAACAGCTAATTTATCAAGCGTATGTTAATCCTGCTGAAGTTGCATATCTTAGTATCAGGTGCCGTGTGAATGGTGACTTCGCTTCAAGTGTCCAGTGAGTGGGTCTCCTAACTCGTTTCTTCTCGTTCGCCACCTCACACTTTTCGTAGAAGTTGCCTCGTCTTGGAACCTGGTCAGTGACTCCTCCCGCATCTGACCGATCTGAGAGTTTCGTGCAGTGGACGTTGGAGGCAGGATGTGTTTGTATTGGGGCTTGAAAAGTGTCGGGACTGCGGTCAAGGTCACACTGGAGTGTTGTGTTGTGTTGTATT